TATGTATCCTTCAGTCTAAAGTATAGTTACGGTCATCAATTAATATATTCACAGTTAATACTTCATCCGTCAGGAACCAGGAAGTAAGCCAAAAAAATAAAAACAAAACAAAAACCAGAGACAAACAAAAAAAGAGAGAAAACTTAAGTTCTCTCTTTTTGTTTTGTTTTTTGACAAACAAAAAAAGAGAGAAAACTTAAGTTCTTCCCAGTGAGACATCATTAGGCCCACAGGGCTTCACTATTATTTGTTAACTGTGTTGAGTGGGACTAGCCTTGTTTTCCCAAATTTGCTAACAAACCCAAAATTGTGGATATATAGACATCAAGGATCAAACATCCAGGAAGCCCAGCACTGACATCCCTTCCCTCACACACACCCCCTTCAGGGCTCTGGCACTCTAATCAAGACCTTACCATAACTTGATATAAGCATTTGACAGAAGAGAGGGGAAAAAATTGAAAGTCTTCCAAGTCTGCAGGGAGAACACATGGAAAGAAAGGGGGTATTCACCCCAAAACAGTGGCAGGAGCCCTCTAACAGAGTCATTCACCAAGAAGAGTCTACAAGGAGAGACCGGCAACCCATTCCGTAGTTCACTGCCTACTTATCAAGTACGCTGAGCAGTTGTCCTGTATGTAGCTGTCGGAGCAGGGGATTTAATATGTAACATAAGGGCACAAAAGGGGGCATTTATGCAGCTGGCATACCATTACTTGGCATCACAAGGAAGTGAGTTTCCAGTGGGTTAAATGGAAGCTGCTATCTGTCTTGCTGTTATCAAAAAATCTGGCTGCGGGGAGAAAAGATCCCCAATGCATCTCACCCCCCCACACACTCCTAGGAACCAGAGGGTGGGACTGACAGGTCAGGGATGAGGATGTGGCAGTGTAAGCCCACAGCAAATTTCATATTCAGGAACTAGGTGCAGTGGGGAGTCTCTCTGTGAGAGTCCAGTGTGGACGCCTATCAGTGGACATCAATGTCTTGCCACTGTTAATCAAAAGAGGGCTTTAACAGCACCCAGTAAGATAGACTTCTCTTTTTTCCATTTTTCTTCTTACAAGTCCCTAACCAAGTAGATCCAGAAGAGGAAAGAGAAAGAGGAATTCTGGGAGCATACCACAATTCCTCCCCACTCCAAGTAGTTCAAGTAGTTAAGTGGCTTGACACTGGGGTAAGAGAGGAGAGAAACTTAAAATTGAATAGGAGACTGAAGGTTTAAACTGAAATAGACAGACTGGAGCTTTTAATAGCTATAAATGATGGAAAAACCTATCATTTGTCCACGATGTTATGATGTTCGGGGTGGGGAGGGGGAGGAAGATCCTATGAATATCATAGCTGAAAGCAGTGAATGGTGAAAAATAAAACTGTCTTCTGTTTGTTTTCACCAAGCTCAGACTGCTCACTAACCTGATGATACATGGAACAGCATCATGCCCTTAGTAATGAATGAGAGGAAACACCAGACATGAACATTCTCACAGGGGATTTATTGTACTGGGTGAGATGCTACATTAGAAGTCCTCTGAGACTGCTTCCAGTTCTAAGTGCCTGTGACTGTCCTTTCTTCGAGGACAGGGTAAATTGAGCACAGGACCCAGAGTTCAATGGTGAAATGCTAAGAGGCTAGGCTGTGTAAGGGGTAAAACCACAACTTTTTGGAAAATAAAACTATCACAGTGACAATTATATGGTTTCCGTTTAGGAAAAAATATATAGGACTCTAAGGCTTATCTAAATGCTAAAAAATATCCTAAATGACACTGATTTTCTTTTACAGTCAACAGACATTCCAATTCAAATTCTGATATAAAATCCCCCAAACACGATTTCCCGGAATCAAAACAATTCAACTAATCAAAAGGCTCATCAAAATAAACAGCAAATATGTTTGCTTAAATATCTTCTAGGAATTATAAGCTCAGATATTCTGTACTACACAGCAGCTACTAGGAAAAAATATTACTCAGAGTTCAATGGTTTAATGTTACTCATTAAGCACAAGAGTCCTACTGCTGTAACAAGAATCAACAGAAATTTTTATTTTTGGATAAAAACATCCCATATTTCTATGTTTCTAAAAATAATTAAGCATTACATACAAGCATCTAAAACTACCAGAAGTTTCTGTCCTAAGAACTCTTCTCTGATATCATGTCAATACCTTTCTAAATGCTGTTTACTTACAAATGGTCAAAACAATTAAAATTCAGCTTTAATATTTATTTCCTACTGAAGCCATTTTATTATTGCAGATCAGAAATAGGAGAATCATCTTGAAATTTAAAATCAAAATTTAATATTAACAGAAGTAAAATGCTCAAGCATGTGGAGGAGTATTTGTATGTTACTTCAGCTCAAAGCTGAGGCAGTTACTACTATAGTACTTGAAGTTTTGACCTCATAAAAGCAGAATGTTATCACATCTGAATAATTACTATATTGTATTCAGAATACAATTTCTCTCTCTCATTCTTAAATGACAAATTTAAATCAGAACAACAATTTAACATCCAGTAATATTTCTGGGATGCCTGGGTGGCTCAGTGGTTGAGCATTTGCCTTTGGCTCAGGTCATGATCCCAGGGTCGTGGGATAGAGTCCCATGTCGGGCTCCCCACAGGGAGCCTGCGTCTCCTTCTGCCTATGTCTCTGCCTCTCTCTGTGTGTTTCTCATGAATAAATGAATAAAATCTTCTTAAAAATCCAGTAATATTTCGTTATCAAAGTCCAACTTAAAATATGTTAATAGGTTATTTCATAGATTTCATTCTGGGTTCAAATCATCATACAGTCCAAAACACAAGTTTTGCAGCAAGACTAAAAGAACTTTCAGGCAGAAGTAAAAGTCCTTTTTTGTTTTGCTTTTAAGCTGCATTAGACATTTCTAGAGGAAAAGCCTCTGTAAAAATATAAAATGTTTCCATCTTCCCTAAATATTTTCCCAGGAGTCTTCAATATTGTCATATCCTATATGTTAACAATAAATACGGGAGGACAGGACTGCCCACAGCGGCTTTTTAAAGAAAATATCCCAATGCTATTCTTAATGTCCTTAAACATTTCTAAAAAGGTCCTTCCGGCTTATGAATTCATAGCAGTTTCCTAACAATTGTATACTTATCCTGTTTTACTGTCTCTCCTGGTCTATGACAAACTCCAATTGACACACCACCTCTCTTTCCTATGTTGCTACATTGTTAAAACTGGAGGATAAAAAGACACAAACCTGCTACTTCCCTCCCCCCAAAGCAACCATAAAACCACTACTTAGCAAGATAAAGTGCAATATGAAGCAGTTTCAATACATATAAATCACAACTCCTCAAGTCACAAAAGTTACCCACTACTTGCCACCAAAAGCAAATTCCCAGCTATATTCCCCGACATTCCTTGATATGGCTCGCTCTTCAAGAGAAACCTCATCAATGGATGTTCTGCAGGGTTTATAGCACTATAAAGTAAATTAACCATTAACTCGAATTCCACTAAGCCTAGGCATTCTTGTTTAAATCTACAAATATCCTAAAATGTAATTTTCCTTGGCCAAGATTTGGCCAAGATGAGGACTATTTAAACAGACTTTATTTGGGGAAATATATATATATATATATATATTTTTTTTTTTTTGCACAAGTGTATTAATACGGAAATTGGGAGCATGAAAACCAACAGGCATTTTAGAATGAATCTTCCTATCTTAGAGCCTTTCTCGTTGGGAAGAAAAGCTTCACAGCTTGATTTCTGGCTTCACGGAATGATTTTCTAGATTTCCCCTTGATTTCTAGAGAATCAAGATTCTCTAGCTTCACAGGCTGATTTTCTGCGTGTTTTCCTCCCATTCCTATAGAGCTGGGCCAAATTTCGCTTTCCAGTGTCTTCAGGGGCATTACACTTACATAGAAAGTACGTAAGCTGAGCCCCTGGGTGGGGGGGGGGGGGGAGTAATAAAGCCGACGGATCAGTGGTTGCAAGACAGAAGGACAATGGTTATCAACCTCCTAAGTGCGCTACTCGTTCCAGTCGTTAAACACGCAGGAAATAAGATCTTCCAGTTAGAAAACTAATTCACAAAGGCAGCTGACTTCATTAAAGCAAAGAGGGCCCTGCAGAAGCGGGCGACGATCCATCGATCCATCGGTCGGAGTAAGAAAGGTGCGGGGAGGGGCGTGAGCCGGCACCGACCGCGCGCGCCTCCCTTCCTCGAGCCGCCCCTGGGGTCGCCCCCAAGCAGGAGCATCGAGCGCCGCGCGCAGCCCGGGCAGACGACGCTCGGCCCCGGGGCTCCGCGCCACTCCGCTTCCACCAAGGCAATGGGCGCTATAAATAACAGGACCCTTTCACTGTGCCGACTTTCCCCCGCCGACGACCTATCCAGGAGGGTCAACGGAAAGCATCGGCGAGAAACCGCAAACCGCCGAGGACCGCCGGGCAGCTGGCCTGCAGGCTCCGGGGCCGGGGAGCCAGCCGGTCGCCTCCGCGCTCCTACCTGCGTGACCTTGGGCAAGGCACCTGCGGCCCCCGCGCCGCGAACCCGCGGAGGTGAAGCCGGACTCCGCGGCCCGGGGCGGGGCCGCCGCCGCCTCGCCGAGTCCTAAAGCGAAAGCGCAGGAAGACGCTAGGAAACGCTGCCCGCGGCGGCCGAGCCCCCGGAGGCGCGGCCCCGAGGCGGAGCGGCCCCGACCGGCGTCGGCCGCCGGGAATCCCCGCACGGCGCCCCCGGGAGCCGCGCGCCGCCGCCCGCCCCGGCCGGGCCGGGCCGGGCCCCCGCCCTCCCGCGCCGGACGCCGCCGGGGGTCGAGTCGGAGAAACAATAAACGAGTCGCGGGAAGAGGACGCCGCCCCCTCCCGCAGCCCCGCAGCCCCGCAGCCCGCAGCCCCGCAGCCCCGCAGCCCGCGCGCGCAGGTGAGCGGGCGCCGCGGCCTCGCCCAGGTGCGGGGCAGCCCGGGCCCCCGCGCCGCCCGCCGCCCGCCGCCCGCCGCCCCGCACTCACCAGCGCCCGCCGGCCCCTCGGCGGACGCGCGGACGCCTCCCTGCTCTCCCCCAGCCGGCGCGGCGCTCCCGGAGCCCGGCCCCGCCCACCCCGCCCCGGAGCGGCCGCGCTTCTCACGCCCAACTTCACGTCGGCCCTCGGCCCTCCGCACCGCGCAGCCGCGGCCCCGGCTCCCACCGGCTCCGAGCTGCCGGAGCGGCGTCCGCGACGGCCCGTCCGCGCACTGCGCACGCGCGCCCGCGCCGCCGCGGCCCCCAGACGGCGGCCGAGATTCCGGAGCCCGCACGCCCGGCCCGGGGAGACTACAACTCCCGGCAGGCCCCGCGCGCGGGCCGGGCGGCGTGGCGGGCCGGGTCTGGGGCGTCTTCCTGGTTCCAGGGGAGGCTGCCCCGGCGCGTCGGGGCGGACTGCGCGGGGAGCTCTGGGGCCCTGCGCTGCGGTGCCTCCTGGGATTGGTAGTCTCGGAGCACCAAGGGGCTCGGCTCGGAGTGGGCGGGGTGGGCGTGGAGCGGGGGGAGCTCGGGGTTCTGTGATGTCAGCGCCCAAAGCTTCGCGGCCCTGGGATCTTCTTTAAAAACAGGCTTCGTTCGTGTGCGCATAACCTGTTCGCAAGCTGTTCCATCGTCGGTCCGGGAAGCATCCCTACACGGGCTACTGCGTGACCTGAAGGAAAACCCCTCTACAGCTCTGCGCGCCAACTCTTCGCTCACAACCGTTTCTCCCCCAGAGCTATTAGCTCAGCTTCCTAACTTTGTAGGACAGGGGCGCTTGGAGAAATTCAGATTCTTTTCAGGACGGTTGCAGCATGAATGTGTATGCTCGTGACTATTCGTAAGAACACCTAACGTACTTGTTGAGCACCTGCTATGCGCCGAATCTCATGAGACGCGCCAGGCGTACATCTATCTTGAGATTAGGACAGACACCATCCTGCCCTCGTGGAGCCTGCAATCTGTGAGGGGCGCAGGTCCTTAAATAAGCAAGATGATTTCAGATTTTAATGCAATGGAGAAACAGAGCAAGTTAAAGAGAGGGAGGGGTACTCTAGGAAGGTGTTGAGCCGAAACCTGAAAAATGAGCATTATTCGGACAGGCAAAGAGCTGGGGGAGAATTATATGCCACACCCTCCAAAGTGCATGGCACGCACTAGGTTCTCAATAAACATTTGTTCCATCTGCGTCCTTCCTTTCCTTCCCCATGCACAGCTTTAGATCACATCCTTCCCCCCCCCCTTCAAAATCTTCATCAATGCCTTTCAGAACATCCTTCCTATGTGAAGATGTACAGGAGACAAGGCGACGTTCAGTGGCAGGACAAGCTGTACAGCTGCTGAGACAGAAGACACGAGGTACATGCCGATGACCTGGTTCCATGGCTGAATCTTGACGACTTATCTCCTTCTTTATTTGTGAACTGGGTTAAAAGTCTGGGCCCTCAGCCTGGCCTTCTGACTCCCTTCTGTTTATGAAGCAGAAAATTGGATCTGGAGTTCGTCTTTATTAGGATCCTAAAGATATTATGTCATCTGAATCAAAGGAGAAGTGAAAAATGGCCCTAGACTTATCTGAAGAGACTTCCCTGTGCGACCTTAGGCAGAGGGTGACACTTTGCCTTTCTTGACTCGCAGTGATTTCAAGTGCTGAACATGGGGAATGTTCTCAGAGTCCCATAAGCTGATGGAGGTGAATACACCTTCCATGGAATGCTCCTGTCCTGGCTCTCTCAGACCGCTCATCTTCAACACTTCCAAGGTGACGGTTCTGTTATCTTTTGAGAAACCTTAGCTCTTGTAGCCTTGCTGACACCTGTCTTCTTAAAGCTTCATTTCTTCATCCGGATAGTGGCTGAAAGTGTTTGGCCTGATAATAGTTTATAAACTGGCCAGAGCACTGGTTCCTTTAGTTCAAACAGTCGGTTTGGGGTTTTTATAAACTGGCTGTGTGGCTAACATTTAAAAATAGGATGATTTGGGGGCGCCTGGGTGGCTCAGTCGGTTGAGCATCTGCCTTCAGCTCTGGTCATGATCTCAGGGTTCTGGGATTGAGCAACACATTGGACTCCCCTCTCAGCTGGAGGGGGGGTCTGCTTCCCCCCACCCCGCCCCCCAACCCTGCTTGTGCGCCCTCTCTCTCTCTCTCTCAAATAAATAAAACCTTTAAAAAAATTAAAAAAGGATAATTTCACATAAAAATCCAGATATCACTTTTCCAATTCCTCTAGACATTTGAGCTTGCCCTCCTTCACTAGAGGGACTGGAAGGAGTCTCCAGCTCCGGAATCCTCAAAGATTCTCAGATATTTGGGACATACTTAAACTAAAAACAAACAAAACCCCCCTATGTATCTGAAATTCAAATTCAAATTTAGCATATATTTGATCTGGAAACCCTAGCCCAGAGATCAGACCTCTGAAGCAGAGAGCCTCTCATTCACTCTGGACAGGACATTATTTATTGAGTGAACTTAAATTATTCCTTTTTGTTTTTTGCCCAACAAGCCCCAAAGGTTGTTTGATGCTGAGAGCCACATGTACAAACAATGAGGAGAGCCAGAAAAGTGATTCAAATTGCCCAAAGACACACAGCCAGGTAACCCCAACGCTACTTTGAGGTTGCAGTATAACCAGAACCTGTTAACACCCTTCTGTACGGAAGGCTCAGGAATTAAGGCCAATTAATGTAGTGACCAAAATAATAATAATAACAACAACCATAATAATACTCCTCTCTCTCCTTTTCCTCCAGTCTGTTTTTGGATGGAGAGATTTATTACATAACAGTACTCTTGGTGTTTAAAAAAGAAGAAGTATGTGGAATATTCCCTTGTTGAAATTACAGTCTGAGAACAAACCCAGAACATCCAGGACCCACAGACAGCACTGAGGAATGCTGGAATATTCCATGGCTACTCATAATCTGAAGAAAAGGGAGAGGAGGAGTCTGAATTCAAGAATCTGCAATTTACCTTGAAAATATCACTCTTCTCCTCCTCATCACACCTTCAGTGTGTAAAGCACTTTGATGTTTCATTCGAAAATATTCATCAAGTCCCTTCTGTATGCTTACATGCAGTACCCAGGATCCTCCACAGAGAATTAACCCTTCTGACAACACAAAGTAGGGCAGTGTAGACAAGTCACATGACTGATCCAAAAATCACACAGAAAGTCACTAAGCGCTCATCACCTCTGAAATATCTGACCTCCCCTCGTGGACACTTCATGTCTTTCTTCCTTGCTTTATATTTTTCTCCTTAGCATTGATCCCTTTCCTATACATTATGTATTTTACTTATTTATCTCGTTTATTTTCTGCACGTCACTCTAGAATGCAACCCATAGTTCTTTTCTATCAGTTTTGTTCATCACCCTATCCTCCGTGCCCAGGACAGAAATATCTGTTCAATGATGAAGGCCACCAGCCTACTTCATGGGCAGTCAGAATCAGAAGTGGACAGAAGAAGGAAGTCCAGAAGTAAACCCCTGTTCTCACTAGAAATCAGAACCAAGATAAAACAAGCATTGAACATGAACCAAACAGTCTGCAAACCCAGCTTTGTTCCTACGGTGTCCCTTCCAGAAACTGGGTGGCAGAGCGTAAAAAAGAGCTCTTCCCTGTTTTTCAGTGTACAGATGAATCCCGCAGCAGTCAGTGGGGTTGCTGTTCTGGTTGAGGAGTCAGAAAGCTGGCCCTCCCAGCCTTCCCACGCACTGGACTTCAGCCAAGCGATAGGAAGGATGAGTCTCAGTAATTACCCAGGGTGGGGTGGGATTAAGTGACCTGCCCGGAATACAGGTCAGGTGACTGGATGCTCCTTCTGGAGCTTATTCTTGTGTCCCAAGGCTGGAGCACAATCCTTCAGGGAAGAGGTGAGAGAGATTATGCACAAATCATGTTCACAGAGGTATGAGAACAGGGTTTCAGAACAGGTCAGCAGCCAACCCAAACTCCAGGCTCAACAAGGAAAAAAAGAAAAAGGAATAAGGACAGATAATTGCCTCCAAGATTTTTAGGGAGCAGAAGCAGGAGTGTCCTGCCTTAGGACCCCTATTCTACAGAACCTCTAAAATTCCTCAGCACCTCCGTGATCTCTGGGGTCTGGTGAGGCTCCAGCCCCATCACACACCCCAATAAGGTCATACTTTAATTATCCTGACCACATGTGGAAAGTCTGGGATGCTGGTAAGTCCTAAAGTTGTGAAGCACAGAATGCCTGCTCCCATCCAAACTTGTAAACTCTTGCTCCCGTGTGGCATGAAAGCATGAAAAGGAAGATTTTCTGAAGCCAAGGTGCTTGTCCAGGGCCAGTGCTGGGTACTTACGTAGAGGAACAGTCTAGAAGAGCTGGAAGAGCAAAACAGACAAAGCTGGAAGAGCAAAACAGACAAAGCTGGAAGAGGATCTGGGAATGAGTCCATCTAGGGCTTCACACATTCTTTGGCCTGTGGGAATTCCTCCTCAGACCCCTGCAACTCACCTGTCCCACTTCAACCAAGCTCCTCCTTGAGTTAAAGGCCACTGGATTCTCTCATCCATCTTTGCATTTATCTGAAGAGTATATTTGCCTTCAACAACAAGAACCAATGCCTCAAGCACTTGGGAGGGTGCCATGTCTTGGCCCCAGAGGAAGAGAAGCAGAAGTCACAGCTCCCACCACAAACCCTGTGGACATCATGGGTCCCACCCCAGGACAGGGGCTCCCCTAGGAGCTAGGGCTCTGAAGTCCATCTGCACTGACCAGCTGTGACCTTGGGCTCCTTACCTTACTCCTCTGATCCTCAACATTTCCTCATCTGTAAACTGGAGTTGATAATAATTCCTACTTTACAGCTCATCATGAGTCTTAAATGAAATAACACATGTTAGCAAATATGCACTCTTAGCAAGGTGTCTGGCACACATTAATGGCTTCACCAATATACACGAGTGTCTTATTCAGTTTACCTGAATAGGATGCCTGAGCTTGCCTGACCGAGATGGATGATACATTTTAGAATCTCTCACCTGGGCAGTGGGTAGGTTCTCGAATTACTTTGATTGCTCTAAAACACTTAAAACACTTTGATTACTTGGCAAAGTGATCATAATTACTTTGATTGCTGTAAAACACACACATATCTGGGGTGACTGGGATG